AATAGGTCCACTTAAACAATATTTGGTAGAGAACATTTCACTTCAAAGATCAAATTGCAATATTTTTGGGCTTACAGACACTGTGGCCTTGTTCGCTAAAGAACCCCGATTTTTTTCAGATTTAGGGTGTTCTTCCGGGCATGTTCTCTCCAAAACAAAGTCGATGACCCCCCATTTTTTTTCTTTTTTACATTTCTGACATAACTAACTCATCATCTTACAGTGGTAAAGTTCTCAGAGAAAAAATCAATGTTGGAAAATTTTTGCGCAAACGTCCTTAAGCTGATTTTTGTGCAAAAATTGCCCCTAAGTTAAAATGATATAAAATATCCTATTATTGCATAATGCAATTCAACAGTTTTCATTGGCTTAGTTATCATGGTATATGAGCCATTATACCATGCTATACAAATATGGTTAGCGCATGAGTAATTTTTTTTGGCATTTTATTTTTAGTTTAGTTTAGTTTAGTTTGCTATGTTTTGGGAGCGTTTTTTATTAAAACACTTATTCCACTCGCGCTTGTTGGATATGAGATGATTATAGACAACTCGGCGCTACCCGCCTCCTTTAGTGGCCATCTATCATCTCATATCTAACGCGCGCTCGTGGAATAATTGTTAAATAATATATAGAAGATATAAATAATAAGTATATACCACACAAGTGAATAGTGCTTTTCACGTGTTCGGATTGGTTCGACTCGGAGGAATAGCAAAGTACAAGAAATGATGTCTCTTGTAAAGTAGTGATTCACCTCCAAGCATAGATTTTGAAATTTTCTACCTTTTGTCGGTGTATTGTTGGTTGGTTTTCTGCGCGACTAGTTATTCAGCTTATGTGATATATAGTAAAACAATTATTCACTAAGTGTTGCTGAAAGTATGGGACATTCACCTCCACTTCGGTGAATAATTGTTAATCATTGTTATCAGTTCCCTACATCTGAACTTTCAAACTTGTTTTTAGCATGTGCTGTTTTAGTTTGCAAAATTGTTTCACGGTAATAAAACTGGATTTTTGACTTCTTTTAACAAAGAAAATTAAATTTTGACTTTGATAATTTCTAAAATTTATGCTAACCGTAAGAAAAACAGACAAAACTTCAATCGAGGTCTGAAACTACGAGCGAAGCGAATGCGGACGCGAAGCAAGATGGGGTGGGCGCGGGGAGGCGAGCCAAGCGCGCAAAACCGAACGAAGCCTTCCGTTTTATGATAGTGTCCAGCTCTCTGGCGATTCTATCCCGCGTGTTGATCGAATAAAAATGCGATAAAATAGAGGGATGTGAACTGTCTAATAAGTTTCCGAAACTAGGGAGTTTTATTTCGCAAAACGGAGCAAATGCAGTCGTATCAACTTTATATATCGCTTTTTGCTCCCCGAAAGTAGCGAGCACCAATGGCTGCTAATTCCGAAAATTACGATTCCGTTCTCCGCCACATGCATGTTAAAATTGTGAATAAATATATTTATCATGATTGTGTAACCTCGTCCCTGGGGTGTTATGTCATTGTGGCACTTGTCACAATGCTTCATTAGCGGGGCGTTGGTACGTATATTTATCACTTTGTCTTCATTCGAGTCATACGGCCGCTTTTCCGCTCTCTAAATTAAATACTCAATAACTAAGGCCGACTAGTATTGTCGAGTATTGACGTATCGGGTTGATTTGTTGTAAACTTTATTCAGTATATATTTTCAGTTTTCGTTATTTTGTGCAGGCCGATATTGTTTCTCAAAGTCATCGCGTTCGACGATAGGAGCACGCACTCTAATCCCGTCATTCCCGCGGGTTTATGTTCCGCGATCTTCCGCTAGGCCAGATGATTTCAGGGTTTGGACACCATCTTGGACTGACTGCATGGAACAAGTAGCTTTGGTCTGATGTGATGCCTCGCTTTGAATAATATTGAGGTCTTACACCACTGTGCTTTTCTTCCTTCGTTTTTCTACGAAGGAATCTTCGCAGTTTTCGCCAAAGTTAGTGAAGTTGTGTTGATTTATTCGAACTATTACCAGCTAAATTGGCTAAAGGTACTTATCTACACAGCAGAAAGCTGTGTAGTGCTGTATTTTCTCCGAAACTGTGTGGGTAACGTATCGATTTGTGATCTGTGTCATCTCTTAGGAGTCAGCTGCTTTTCTCGGCGATTCGACTTCTCTGAGAGAATATAGTTGCAAGGATCGACCGTAATAGCTGGAGTAAATCAGCACAACTTCATTGACCTTGGGAAAGACTGCAAATATGCCAACGTAGCACAAGAAACGACGAAAAGGAAATGGAAATGCACACCGCTCAACGAATTTCACTGCAGGTATGTCTAACTGATGTAAGCTTGCATGTATACTTAAGTTAAACGCGTTCACATTTGGAAGTAAAGTTTATTCCTTTCTATAGTTATACACAGTACTTAAACTTACTAAACGATCCGCCGGCTAGAGTAATGTGGCATCTAATGCCAATAAAGGGCACAAAAGTTAAACAACACCCCGAAAAATACACAACTTGGCAAACCCTGGAAGGGAAACATAAATGGGCTTAAGTGTGTGCTGCTGTCAAGGGTATGCTTTTCCAGCAGTCTACTTTGGGTATAGAAATCAGGATTTGGTAAACAATCTGAGATCTCGATATAAAAAGAAAAGAGTTTCTGATTTTTTATTAAATATAGTATGGAATGTTAATAGGGAAAGTATTTCTGGTACCCAACAATCAGATGTCCAAATACTAACTGAATATCCTCTGCTATGACCCAAAAATTCCATACTCCTAGAAACACACCCCATTGACAAATTCCTAGAGTACCCCTTTCCTCCTCCCGGGTATCGAACGCACTTTACTAATCTCTGATTACTACCAGTTATTATGTAATTTTGATTGAAAGGACGTAATAAGGAGGGTCATTCAAGGCTTGTGTTGACACACCCCAGAAGTGGTTGTTTTATACATGATAAATGTTTATATTCGGTTGAGAGGGGCGAATTAGAATATAAATGTAACGAGCGTGTAGACGCCGCAGTGGTTACTTAAACTACCTACTAGGGACGCCCAGGACAACGCACTTAATAAATAAAATTGACAAATCTAGGTAAAACAACCGATTTTCAAGCATAGGTACTAAACTAAGACAACCGCCACATCAAATACGGCAATTGATGTTCAGCTACACTGCACGCCGAGTGATCAGCCGACTGATCGCACCGACAAATCGGTCAGTGTAAAACGCAGACTGCGGACTGTAGGCTGCAGACTGCAGACCGGGGATAAAATTCAGATTAAGGGTAAAATGCAGACTGCAGACCAGGGGCAAAATGCAGACTACAGACTACAGGTATATCGCGTTACATGTATTGCCATTATCGAGTGCTAACCGGCAACATGGGTTTTCAGGCTCGAGTTGGCGAGGGTTCAAGTTTATCAGGATTCGATCGACTGTTTATCCACCAGAAAAGTGTGAAACGTAACACATGCTGTGTTACATGACTCTGATTTTGAAAAGAAGTAAGCTCGTAACAAACAATTTTCAGTTGCTATATTTTTACTTTCAGGATCGGCGAATGTGATAGCTGCATCATCTACGATCCTGAGATCCCCGCAGTCAGTTGAATGAACACTGAGGGAGATCTCCTGGTTTTGCTGTCGCCTGAACAAATGCCAAACTCACATGTACACTTATGTCAACCTGAGCCGTTTCATATGTTTTCTTCCACCTGAACAAGATATACCGGGGATCACGATATTTCTGAGAAAACGAAAGCGGAAGTCACTCGATTGCCAGGAATCAACAGAAATGCAAACGATCTTCTGGCAAAATCGAAGATCGTTACTAAATCGCGCAATTTCTTGCCACTTAAACTTTCAGCTCTTTTCTTGCACCTGCTTTAAAAGCTGGGACTTGTCGAATTATAGGGAAAGAAGATCAGAAAAAAGAATAACAAGCTACAATGAAACAGGCTAATCAGCTTCCGGTCTCCAGGGCCACTCCGGCTGATTCTTCTTCGTGCGTAGGGCCTGCTTACGAGTAGCACTTCGGGATATTTTGGTGTGTTGGCGTCTTCACGTGATTGCTCAAAGTAGGAGTTTTTTCGATGATATTCAGAGGGAATTAGAATGTTCAGTGTGTCAGGAACAGTTTAGTGAAACTAACGAACCGAAAATACTGAAATGCCTTCACACTTTCTGCAAATCCTGTCTGGAAGCTTGGCCGCGACAGCAGGGTGGAGGAGCGTTGAGTTGTCCAACTTGCCGTCAAATCACAGAATGTTCGAGCAACAAAATCAGCAGCCTTCCATCCAACCTGTTTTACAGACAGATGGTGGACATTGTTAAGGCTTACAGCGGACAAGGACAAGAAGATCACCACACTACGGAGGCTGCGACGAAAGAAAGTCATTGGAGTTCTATTGTGCTGATTACCATCACTTCTTGTGTGAGGATTGCGCTAGGGCTCACAAAAAATTGAAAGTTCTTAAAAGCCATCACGTTGAAGAAATTGGAAAATTCAAGCCAAGTGATGCCCGAGATTACGCCAGGAGAGTAAATGCTTGCAAGAAACACAACGATGAAGTAAGATTTTACTGTGAACAGTGCGTGTATGCATTTGCCGTGACTGCGCCATATTGGATCATCGAGACCACAACATCGTTTCGCTTGACAGCGGATTACAAAAGAAGAAATCAGAAACCGAGGATAAAATGCAAGAAGTCCAGGCAAATGTTTCTCGTTTGAGGAGCGAGAAAGAATCCCTTGAAAAGCAAAGAATAAGAATGAACAAAAGCGTCCAACAAGCGACAGAAGAAATACGCAGAACGGCGGAACGCAACATAGAATTGATTCGCCAACATAAAGCAAGCGTCACCGAGCGACTAATGAAGCGGAAAGAATCTTTCGATGCTGCATTTTCAAACACAGTGACAGGCCTGGACGAAAAACTGGTTGATATGAAGAGCAGCTTGGACTTTGGCAACGAAGTACTTCAACGAAATAATTTACCAGAGATTCTAAACGTGGAAGAAGTGCTTGAACCAAGGTTTCAGGAACTTATGGAGCCTTGTGCATTTTACTTGAAGGTAAATTATTCCGCCGTTAAATACGTAGCAAATGACTTGTCGTCCCTGAAAGATTCACCGGGAAAGCTAGTAACGACAAACACCGAACCTTCCTTGACAATGGTGGATGGCATGGGACTGACAGAGGGTGTACAACGCGAAGATTGCACTTTTATTGTGATTACAAAGGATTCACAGGGAAATAAGACCCACAGTGAAATTGACAGCGTTGAAGTTTACATCCAATCAACGCAGACGAGAGAAACCGTGAAGGTCACCATAATAGATTCACAAGATGGCTGCTTTTATGTATCATATAAACCTGGAGCTGCAGGAGAGTTTAACATCTACATAACTGTATCAGGCGAGGATATCAGTGGCAGTCCGTTTCAGTTGAAAGCGAGAAAAGGAAAAACTAAAGCAAAAGGGATAAAGAAGGGAAAACGAGAATTGTCAGGTATTATTGCTTTTACTTTAATTTCCTTAGCTTCATCTTTTCTAATCTCAATTTCAATCTAAGTTGGCTCTTTAAGGCCAAAACTAGTAGGTTACTGGATACGAGGTCGAGGGTTCCTGTGATTGTTTGGGTAGCAGATTAGAGATATGACTGGTCATTGATTGCCTCTGGAAACCACTGACTATACAGTATAGAGCCGAGTATTTGCCCAAATTATGCCAAATCTTAGCGTTAAGTTTATCGTTTTTCTGGGTAACAATTTTTTAAGACACCTGAAATGCTATATTGGTTTTACTTACCTTAAAGATAAAAAGGGAATTAAAGAACAACAACAATACCTGTTGTCTACACTTGATATTTGCTATTTCGCGTGCTAACTACTGACTATAATGCCAGTGGAATAAAAGGAACTTGGGTCAGTGGCCTCAACAGTGTTTTCAATAATTCATTTTCTAGAGTTCAGTGGCTCATTGCCACTTTGAATTTATTTAGCCCAGTTACACTTGTTTCTGGGGTAATAAAATCAGGAGAGAATCGTGAACTGACAAGATTTTGGAGCTGGAGAAAATATAGCATTTTACTATATGGCAAGGTAGTCTTGAGGTAAATCCGAACGTTCTGATTGGTTCTTTCTTGTTCGGGATTTCGCCATACGGACTGTTTCCATGGAAACGGTCATAAGCTGTGTATTTTTTGTTTTCGAAAGCCGGCAAATTCAAAATTTGCAACTAAAACTACGAAAAGAAAGCGTGTAAATACTCTCATTCTTTGCGAAGAAACTACCTAAAAGATTGATATTTTACAGAGCTTACAACATGGACGAGGGAGAGGAATATTTACCAAGTCAATTTTATTATTCTGAAGATCTGGAAACGTCTGGTGTAGAAACTGAAACAGGCATCAGCGAAAGTCAGGAGGTCATAGACGATCTTTATATAAACAAACAGAAAAGCGCAGACACAAATAAGAGGACGACTTCTTATATGAGCACTGTTCTCCGCTACATGGAAGCTAACGGTATGACAAATGAAAGAATTGAAAGCCCATCTGCGTCAGAGCTTGACCACCTTTTGTCCAAATTTTTTCTCAACGCATGTAGGTAAAATGGAGGAGAGTACAAGCTAGCAACAATTTCCAGTTTTCAGCGCAGTATACAGCGATACTTAACTGAGAAGAAATATCCATTCAACATACTCAAGGACAATGATTTTGAAAAATCGAGAAGCGTTCAAGCTGCGAAGTGCAAGGCACTGGTTCACGAGCACGGCAAAGGAACTCACTCAGAACAAGCCGCAAGATTCACGAAATTGAAGAAGACGCTCTTTTTGAAGCGGGAGAATTCGGCGTGTTTGCACTTTTCTGTTTTGTTTTTTTTTTTAATTGATAAAATCGTCTTGAAGTCTTGTTTATATCCAACATGATTTACGTTCGATAAATTTGTTTTCAAACTCGTGGTATCTTGTTCTTTCTGAGTTGCTCGCGTCATCAAAAACACGTTACGGCGGAAGCCCTTTGAATTCAAGTGACCGGTAGTGCATTTTAAGAGTAAACAAACGAGCACGGCCTGAGTGCCATAAAATAAACTACTTACTAACCTAGCTAGCTTGGACCGTACTGGGGAATATTGGTCCTCGGTCGTTTTTGTACGGATCTCGCTGCGCTCGGTCCGTACTGCCACGACCTTGGGCCAATATTCCCCAGTACGGCCCTCGTGCTCGGTTAGTAAGAGATTAGTTTTTTACTTATCTAGCAGTTAGTTGCAAAACAGAGTGAAGCATATTCAAGCAGTTCTAACATTTAGTACAGATTGTATTATTGATATGGTTTACGGGGGCTGCCGTCAGCGAAACTGCTATCTTGCAACAAAGAAGGGGTGAAGGTGGTGTGAGGCAGGTACCTGTAAAAGATGTTATACTTTTTATTTATTTATTTATTTATTTGTTTATTTATTTATTTGTTTTTTTGTTATTGGAATTGTTACTGACAACATACAAAGATACACTAACAAAACAAAAAACAACTAACACTACTTACAATGATAGAATTACAATAAACTACACTAATGACAATATATACAGTTGCCCTACTAAACAACACAAATAAACGGTGTTTACACTTTTAGTAATATGGTACTCATCTAATTTCTTGTACCTTAGCCGAAAACGGTACTTATAATTAACTTAAACCGCATTTTGAATATATGCTTTCTCTAGCTGTGTTACATATTGTTTCACTTATTCCTTAATATTCTTAATCTGGGCGACACAAAACAGAACAAAGCAACGAAAGAGAAAGTATGATGCTCTAGTTTGTTTACCGCATACAATAACACCTGTGTAGATTCAAACGTAAAATTTGGGCTCATCTTTACGTTCTGTCTGCACACATAGTTTGCCAAGATTTTTCATAGTCTAGTTCGATCATTGCGGGTATTGACTTTGACGNAACGTGCTAGAGATCAAGGCTTTTTTAAACTTTTTTTTATTTATTTACTTACTATTTTACTCGTTTCGGTGGTTCCGCTTGTTTCGGTGGTTTCGTTTCGCTCGTTTCGCTCGTTTCGCTCGTTTCGGTGGTTTCGTTTGGGTGGTTTCGTTTCGTTGTTTCGGGTTTTAGTACGTGCCGTTCTCCGCTACATGGAAGCTAACGGTATGACAAATGAAAGAATTGAAAGCCCACCTGCGTCAGAGCTTGACCACCTTTTGTCCAATTTTTTTCTGGACACACGCAATTTCCAGTTTTCAGCGCAGTATACAGCGATACTTAACTGAGAGGAAATATCCATTCAACATACTCAAGGACAATGAGTTTGAAAAATCGAGAAGCGTACAAGCCGCGAAGTGCAAGTCACTGGTTCAGTAGCACGGCAAAGGAACTCACTCAGAACAAGCCGCAAGATTGACGAAAACGAAGAAGGTGCTCTTTTTGAAGCGGGAGAATTCGGCGTGTTTGCACTTTTCTGTTTTTTTTTTGTTTTTTTTTTTTAAATAAAATCGCCTTGAAGTCTCGTTTATATCCAACATGATTTACGTGCGACAAATTTGTTTTCAAATTCGTGGTACCTTGTTCTTTCTGAGTTGCTCGCGTCATCAAAAACACGTCACCGTGGAAGCCCTTTGAATTCAAGTGACCGGAAGTGCATTTTAACAGAAAACAAACAAGCACGGCCTGAGTGCCATATAATAAACTACTTATTAACCTAGCTAGCTCGAGCCGTTCTGTGGAATATTGGCCCTTGGTCGTTTTTGAACGGACCTCGCTGCGCTCGGTCCGTACTACCACGACCTCGGGCCAATATTCCCCAGCACGACCCTCGCGCTCGGTTAGTAAGAGGTTAGTATTTTACTTATACTGGCAGTTAGTTGCAAAACGAAGTGAAACATATTTAAGCAGTTTTAACGTGTAGTACAGATTGTATTGTTGATATGGTTTACGGGGGCTGCCGTCAGCGAAACTGCTATCTTGCAACAAAGGAGGGGTGAAGGTGGTGTGAGGCAGATACCTGTAAAACATGTTATACTTTTTATTAATTAATTAATTAATTTATTTATTTATTTATTTATTTATTTTTATTGGAATTGTTACCTGCAACATACAAAGATGCACTAACAAAACAAAAAACAACTAACGCTACTTACAATGATAGAATTACAATAAACTACACTAATTACAATATATACATTTGCCCTACTAAACAACACAAATAAACGGTGTTTACACTTTTAGTAATATGGTACTCATCTAATTTCTTGTACCTCAGCCGAAAACGGTACTTATGATTAACTTAAACCGCATTTTGAATATATGCTTTCTCTAGCTGTATTACATATTGTTTCACTTATTCCTTAATATTCTTAATCTGGGCGACACAAAACAGAACAAAGCAACGAAAGAGAAAGAAGGCTGCTCTAGTTTGTTTACCGCATACAACAACACCTGTGTAGATTCAAACGTAAAATTTCAGTCTTGGCCGGGATGGGCTCATCTTTACTTTCTGTCTGCACACATAGTTTGCCAAGAATTTTCATAGTCTAGTTCCATCATTGCGGCTATTGACTTTGACGCATTAAATGATTTTTCTTTGATTTTCTTTAAACTTCAGATCGATTGGTATTCAGTGACACACCTCAAAGCAGTGACCAGTCAATCCAATCACATTGTTCAATATGCCAGAGTGGATTCAGAGATCCTGTTTATCCATCAAAGTGTGGACACATCTTCTGCAAACGTTGTGTAGACGAAGCTGTTGCGAATGGCACTAGTTTGTTAATGTACAATGACGAATTCTGTGCATTTCAAAGAAACCAACCGGTTGGGCTTATGAGTTGGAGATCAGAGAAACAACCGCTTCCTGGGCACGAAGATTGTGAAACCATCCTTGTTACATATAATTTCCACGCAGGACAGCAAGGTGCATAAAAATAATTCGAATAAAAAGAAGAAATTGATATCTTTGTTATCTCTTAATATTTGAGCTGCCCAAAAAATCCAGGCGTTAGGCAAGCGCGTAGCGCCGAACATCGCATTCAACAAGTGTGAGTGGAATAGTTAACCACGAAATACAGTATTGCATTTTCTACTAGAGTTTTTCCTGGATCTTCAATCATCACAAACCCACATAACAGATCAATCGCGTATGAGAAAAAAACAAATTATTTGATCTGTAATATGCGTTAACATGGCTACACATACAAGAAAAAAAGACGCAACCTGAATAAGGCGGCTAAAATATAAGACGCGAATTAGATGTCCGAATTGCTTTGTAGCAACGATTCTTGTCTCCGTTAAGACCGATGCACCAAGTCCATGAAACGTTTACACGAGATTAAGACGCGTCAATTAAGACGTCCAGCTCAAGATCCTTTTCTTAAAATAAGCTGAGTCTTGTTTTAGACGCGCCTTAAGCTCGTTCTAGTCCCAAAACAGGATTTTGTGTCCCGGTCAGCTCGCGTCTTATTTTGTCCTGGTCCTAGGTTTCGTATAGTAGCACTAACATAACATCGTCGAGGGTTTTTGTGACATTAAAGTACTCTTTAGTTGCCCTACTGAACTCGTGTTGATCAATAAATCTAATGTCAGCGTTCTGTGCCAATTTGCTCACTTTCCTGTCTATAAGCGAATCTTTGCTGACGTCATTGTTTACATTTTTCCTCATTAACATACAACTTTGTGCATAGAAGGCATCATGCTAGCCACGATTTTACTAGAAAAACTTAAAGAGCTTGTGAAATTTAGTAAGTGGTGAAATTTTTCGCTCCTTGGAATGTAATATTCGAGGAGAAATTGGCTTTCAAAAACATCAAAATTTCTGTGTGGCAAAAGCGCTAATGAGCTCATACATTCTTTGTAAAATTTTGAGCTTTTAAATCCTCGTCGCACAAAAAGTATTCAATACATCGCGCTCAAATTCCAGTATTAATCTCTTTGGAGCTCCATCAGAAACTGTATCGCATATGGCAATGAGGCAAATATCGTAAACAAAGATTCTCCTATTGATACGTGTTTCCATGGTCTCTTACATTTGTCCTTTTACATTTGTCCCTTTTACAGGATGGGAACATCCCAGACCAGGTCGTCGTTACGAAAGGCTTTATTCCAGAGCATACCTACCAAATAACGCTGAAGGACAGACTGTTCTTTTAATGCTTAAGAGGACGTTTGACGCACGGCTTCTATTCACAATTGGCAAATCTCCTCATACAGGCGAAGATAATCAAATCCTGTCGAATGGCGTCGAGCATAAAGCCAATCGTTCAGGAGGGCCCTCAAAGTAAGTACTTAGTCAAAGTTAGTGTATGATGTATCTAATGCTAAATTAACTAAAAATGCCTTTTTGCTATAGTATAACAATAATAGCGAGGAAAAACTGCACGGCCGCTAGTTGTTGATAGGTCTCAAGTGTTTCTCAGTCTTAATCTGTCCAATACAAATCCAACAGATTACTCTTATTTATTCCATATTATATACGAAATCGTATCTCCTCATTTTGTCTCTGTGACATTAATTTAACAGAGGCTTCGTAGCAGTAGGAACACGACGTAGTGATTATAGATACGTCTCTGATAAGCAAGTTGTAAAGTAAGGCCAAAGAGTGCTTAGGTGGACCTAATTTATCGTCTTTTGTAGGTTTCGATGTCGTTATGGAGTAATTGATGGACTGAATATATGAAAGACACTGCTATATGTAAACATAAATGAATGACATGACCCTTGCAGTGTCCAAGAAATTTGAAGGCTACAGGTTCGAAGGCTACAGAAGCCTATGTCCTCAGGGATACCGCTACGCATTCTGGTCCAAAGTGGTGACTGTCCGTCTTTGCCGGCGGGGCCATGGCACCAAGAAAATGTAGCCCTGGAGACACATGATTTGCTTGGCTAGATTCATAAAAATTTCTCCATGTACCACCTACAGACCTTAGCCAATGGAAGTTTAATGCGATATCTTTGGAAAGGAAACCAGCGTTTGAATTAATGAAAATCTTGGTTTAAGGGTCTAGCCAAGCCAGCAATGTGTCTCCAGAGCCACCTTTTTATCTTGCCAATCCCCCGCTAGCTGAGAGGGACTGGCAGTTCTGGGAACGGGAATAACCAGTGCGTTTCTCTACCAGCCGAGCTTCAGCCGTGATTCATTCAGAGCGAGTCAATTGTAGACATTTGAGGTTCTAATGTTTCCCATAAGGAGTAGATGATGTGAATATTTGAATGAACTTTTTTGAACCTTGACCAAAATGCTTACCTGTAACCTTCGATGGACCAGCATCCTATCTGAGGGGGTATGGAGCGCAAAGAACTGGCACATATCCTAGACATGAGTCACTTTCACGAATGAAAAGCCTAAAAAATAGTCACAAGAACATAACTTGCTTATCTGGCTATAGAGAGGATTTAAACATGATACTCTGCACGTCCACAGGCTACCAAAAGTAATACTTGTTGCATCCTGAGTGTATTTCCCAAAACGTCCTTTCGGCTCGAATAATTTTATAAATTGTTGTCATATTTTTTCTTGCAGCTATGGGTATCCAGACTCTGACTACCTTGGCCGAGTGAGGTTGCAGCTGGTAAGCAAAGGAATTAAAGATGACACTTCACCCGCACAGACTAAAGATTGATCACCACTGAGGTTACTTACTCTTTGGCAGAATGATTACTTTTTGGATGACAGCACTGCTTGAGGAAGCGCATATTGCTAATAAACACCAGCCGGGGGCAGGGTCTTGTTGTTCAAAACACGATTTATCCACTCAATGATCAGCGTAAAATTTAATTTCAGTGTGGTAACGTTTCAGCTGTTGAAGTTGTCCCGCGGTCTTAACTTTTTTGTCCTTCACTTTCTTCTTTGGCCAAGAGAAGATGAAGGGCATTGCTTAGGTAATCCCTCTCAGTCTATTTTAAGAGATGTTAGCCTGTTTTCAGGCGGATAATGCTACCACGCAAGTGGCGTGGACGCTTTAGCGAACGGGAAAAACGCACGTGAAGCGGCTTGGGCTATCCACGTGAGCAAACTTTGCGTCACATGGATTAGTTGGCTGGCTATTTCCAGATCATCCTGGAATGTCTGAAACCAAAAGTTATCTAAAAGTAGCTTGACAGGAATTACCTTTATCTGCTCTGGCTTCAGTCTCAAACTCCACGTTACATTAGCCGTGAAATCACTTTTGCATGTATACTATGGAAATCTAAATCTCGTTGCAAGTTTTATTCGGATTAGCGTTCATCAGCTTTCGAACAACAAGGTGTGCCCTGGATGGCAAATTTGTACTTAATTCAATTCAATTTTATTTACACTTATTTTAGTGACGCAACGGCTTCATTTATTAAAAAATACATAAACAAAAAACAGAGAAAAACGGAAAATTACATTCAATAAGAAAAAAGTGTGTAATGGCCAAAGGAGTGAAAGTTTTCGAGATGGCCACCGTGACTACAGTTGAACTATTAAGCAATTAGATTCTGAGCTCGAGATTTCTATCTATTCTATTGACGAGGGCGCAGCCCGAGTCAACTATCACGTGATAGAAATCGGGAGCGCATAATCTAATTGTTTTAGTATAAATCTACTAGTCGTTCAAACCTTTATCTAGATCGTTCTGGGAACTAATCTGTACAACTGTTCGCATCTCTTCAAGAAGTTCCCTTTTGAGTCTAACAGGGATTGGACTTGTAACAGCCTCCACTCTAATAAATAAACTGCAATATACAGATTCGTCGCAAAACGTTTCCAAGTGCTTAAGCTTGCCTTATCTCGTACTCAGCAAAATTTAAAACGCCATGTTATTTTGAAAATAAAAGCGATTTCGTTAGGTGATTGAGTGGAGTTATTTCGAAAAACAAATTAAAAGATTTGAACAGAACGATGTATATGCTGTGTTGCTGCTGGTCTTTGGATGAGGCTATGAAGGCGGCCCAAGAACCACTTAAATAGGCGAACTTGAGTGGACGCACTATTTTCCCCTAAGGACGAAGAGGATTAAGACAAGCATATTCTGTTTAAAGTCAAGTTCTGCTTTTTATGCCAGTCAGATTCTCAACATGAAGGAATTGATAGTGGTAAATGTTAGGAGAACTTACCACTTGCCACAACCAGTACCGATAGGGATAACTTGCCTAAGTACAAAAAACTATTCATGACGATGACAGAAGTGAATTAGGGCCATATTTAACAGGAACTGGGCCAGTCGTTGAGGCGGTTTTCAAAAATACAAAGCCTTCACATTTTAATTAAGCCTACTGTTAGGCCAATTTGACCGCCTTCTCCAGCTCCATAAAATTCGAAAGTATATTTGATAAAGAAGGGGATCCTTCTGATCCACGAATTTCCGAACAACACGAGCTTCCTTTGAATTTGACCTTGGGCCTTCGTTCAGTAGTAAAAGGACTTTGAGTGCAATGCATAAGTTGTAGCTGCTTTTGTCAGTACAACCTCCGAGTTTAAAATAAGTTTCCTGCAAGTAAAGTTCTCATACGAGATAATACTCCTGTGCTTCTAGAGTGCCCTTCCAGTTCACTAATCACCTCACTTGTGGTTGGACGTTCTTCAGGATTTCTTCTGACACACCGCTTGATGAGTCTTCGCAAGGTACCATCAGATACCTGTCCTATCTGATTACGCATTCGTTGAGGATCCGGAAGTTCTCTGATGCACATTTCACACAACAGTACGCCAAAACTGTACACATCCACCTAGAGGAGAAAATCAAGTATCACTTGATAAAGAGTGCGAGTATTGATCAGTCAAAGTATAACTGCTGGAAAGTGTTGGAACTGTTATCAGCCACCTCAATAAAGCCAAACAGTCTTGAAAAGTGATTTGAAGAGTTCTTTTTTTTCGGTCAACCACATTATGGATGGAAAAAAAATCCGGCAAATCTGTTACGAGTAAACATGGCGGAATGTACTAGCCACTGAGCTCAAGCTCACTGATAGGGAGGTATAAGCTATAATTATTTATTACATGGCTTGTGTTTGTTGCCGATATAACACGCGCTCTGATC